AAGGAAGGAGGGAAGGAAGGAAGAAAAAGAAAGAAAGGAAGGAAAGGAAAGAAAGGAAAACCCTCTGTAATGGATATATAATTTATCATTCAAACCAGGACAGTTCTGAGAGTAAAAGGCCACTGTTAATAATTATTCTAGGAGAGCAGGTGTAAAACTACCACTGTCCTGGACAAACCAGAATGTGCACTTATTCTCCCTAGAATATGTTGAATTCAAGGTTAAATCAGATATTTTAAGATGTGTTATATAGTAAAAGATAAATGCAAGAGGCAAAGGTTCCTACATACATAAATGATGAGTTAAATGGGCCTATTTTTTAGTACAGAGCCAAGTGTAAGTTCAGATGTTAGCCATAAATGAAAACAAATTCTGCGGCAGAATTTGGCAAGTTGCTGCTTCGTTTTCCCCGCCCCTCCCCCCCCCAAACTGTGACCTTTAATTAGCATTGCTTTTATAACATTGTGTTTCAAGATACAGGGGCCTGCTTTGTTATTTAAAATAAGCAGTGGAACAGAAACCTATTATGTTTTTAAAGATTGCCTGGAAAAGCTGAGAAGAAAACTTTTAATCAAATGCACCAGCAGTTGGTTGCAGGGTACTGTGTTTTCCTTTATACCTTTGGCAGTTTCTCTGTAACATAATAGCCAGTTGCTACCTAGGAGCTAAAAACACCCTCTTGTTGAAGGAAAGAGTAAGGGATAGAATGGAGAGATAGGTATTTTCAAACATCTGTCTGGCTACACTTTTTCAGTGCTCAGGCTGACTTTGAGGAGGACAAACAAGTAGGAGAAATTCAAGGTGAACTCTCCATGGGGATTTTCAGCATTAGGTTTTTCCTCAAACACCACAACTGACCTCTCTTCTTTGTGTTTATTCCCTCAACTGAGCCTTCTCTTTTCATTGTTTCCTGCCCCTCAACTTTGAAAGGATTGACCTAGACCCAGAAAAATTTAAAAAGTGTTGACTTTTGCCAACTTTCCTTGTATTAGAGTTTCTTAAAGACTTGTGACATTACTTATTGCACTCAGCTTCCCTTTCCAGACAGAATGGACGTTCAAGTACTTGGCTGGAGTACTTTTGCTGTGAGGTTTGTGTTCAACTTAGTTTATAAACAACAAATTCCAAGTCACAAAGGTCTTGCCCATTCTTCCATTCCAAAGTTGAGACTGTGAACAAAGAAAGAGGGGTTTATTACAACAAATTCTATAGATAGCTTCCCAGCAAAGTCTGGAAAATTGTACCTCCCAGAACTTCATAGTGTCAGTATTTAGTTGGGCACAACCTGACTCTCTGGAAAGAGTTGAGTTATGGTTCCCCAAGTGATTCAGAAATCAGTTTATGAGACTAACTAATTTGTCCTGACCCCAGGGAAAATCTCTCTTTGCTCCACATGGGCATTGTCTCTATTACCAGTAGTTAAAAGATGATTCAAACATTGAAAATAAACTGTGATTTTTCAAGAGTGTTCCAGTATGGGATAGGATAAGGAATTCAGTGCAATCCACATTCAGTGGGAATGAACACTGACTGCATTGCAATAAAACTGGGTATAGTGCTTTGTAATCTAGTCTCAACTGCATTTCACAGCAAGCACTTTATTTTCTAAAAAATCCCTTTTCCTTTGCTATTTGTATGTAAAAGCAGGCAATAAAATAGATTAAGGGACTTTCTGCAGAGCATTTACGTTGAGATGACTAGTGTAGACAAACCTACAGAGGTGTTCTCATTATCCCCACAACCACTTTTCTAAAAAGGCTCACATGGTCCATTTCTAAATTCCACATTCTGCTTGCAGCTCACATTATATTGCAATTTCCTCTTTGAGTTCTTAGATTTGTCATATTAAATTGCTCCACTATCATTTGAAGTGAGAGTTAAAGCCAAGACGTGATCAGCTCACTCAAAAAAAAAAAAAAAAATGTCCAGGGCAGGCAGTCATTTCTAGAGATTCATGTTCATATAGACCTGCTAAAATAGAACCTGGCTTTCTCCTTTTATTACTTATTACTTTCATGTCTGTGTCAGAACACAGAATTACTGTCAAGCTTAAAAACAATGTCCGTTTCTAATACCCATCTTCTTATAAATGAACACATAAAGAGCTATGTCCCATTTTGTGATTTTGACCTACCTTTCCTGCCCCTCATGTCTCTATATTTTTACATTTCAAAGACATAGATGTGAACAAACATACACCACCATGCTGTAGTGGGCTAGAATGCTTCATAAACTGTTTATGCTCAAAGCTAAAATATACAGCAGAGAAGTAGAATATTTAGTCAGGTTCCACAGGCATTTATTGAGCGCAAGAAAGTGTCAAGGTCTAGACTGCTGTAGGGACAATACAAAAGTGATCTAGGCAAATTATCTACAGTGAAGGCAGAATTCCTACATAATAGAGCAGAGAGAATCCTATAGGAGACTGTGGAAAACTTCGATTAATTTTGACTAGGAATGCGGTGCCTGGGTGGCTCAGTCATTAAGCGTCTGCCTTTGGCTCAGGTCATGATCCCAGAGTCCTGTGATCAAGCCCCGCATTGGGCTCCCTGCTCAGCAGGAAACCTGCTTCTCCCTCTCCCACTCCCCCTGCTTGTGTTCCCTCTCTCGCTGTGTCTCTGTCAAATAAATAAATAAAATCTTTAAAAAAAAATTTTTTTTGACTAGGAATATTGAAAAATACTTCATTGGAAGAAGTGTGACTTAAAATTGACCTTGAAGTGTGAGAGAGATCTTGACAGAAAGAAAAGGATCATCCTTAAACTTCTGCTTTTGTGGATACCAAATATCCAAAATCTTGAAACAAACTGTATTGCATTTTTTCATTTAAATCCTTTTACACTGTACATACCAGCCGTAGTACTCCAGAATTTATGAGAGGATGCACAATGCGCGTGTATGTACACAAATACATTTTAAATGGCTTTTGTTTTTTACTGATTGAAGGAGATAAAAATGAAAGTCTCTCATTCTCAGTCCTGTTATTGTTTCTTATCAATTTCCTTTGTGCTTCAGTGTTTCCTTATTTTTTGGTCTCCCAATGTGATGAATGCTACTGTGAGACTGTTGATATTTCAGAAGTTTCAACTATGATATTTGTGTAGAATTCGGGAGGGAAGGGGAGAAAAAATAAGACACATAGCCATTGAATTGTATTAGCTCAAGAGTTCCTAAGTATTCAAAGGAAGACAATTTGGTTAAAATAAGCTCTTTTTGGAATGTTATTGGCTGCAAAAAAAGAGAAAAAAAAAGAAAAAAGAAAAAGAAGTAGATCTTGTTAGTAAAGCTTTACTGTTTAAATGTGTGAGTCCCAGTAAAATTTATTTATAGGGCCAAACACTAGAGTCAGATACAATAGATGATTCAAGTAAACAAACAGAACTCTTTGCCTCTGTTACCTAATGGCCTGATCTGCAGTTTACTGGATGGTTGATTGATGTTTCAGTGCCATTGGCTAAGATCTTCAAAGTGATCCATGGTTAAGACTAGTTTGGTCCCTAAGACAGCTTTAGATCAATAGAGTTCCTCTGCTTTGCAGTCAGCCATTTCAGTCATACTAAGGACCAAATCAAAGCAACTCTGCTGCAATTCCATCAAATACTCAGCAATCTACCTGAAAGTGGTGTATTCTGTCATATGTATATACCCATTTAAAGAATAACTATAAACTAGGAGGGGAAAAAAAAAAGATTAGCTTCAAACTAGAAAAAGGACTTTTGCTGAGGAGCCCTCTTTGAAGAAAGTTGTACAAGATGCTATGGGGATTAAAAAAAAAAAAAAAAAGTGAAGCGTGTGTAGTATCAGATTAACCAGAAAAGGAGGTGTTAAAATTTTAATATCATTGTTTACTGTAAAAGACATGCTCTTTCCATAGCACTTAAGTTGTCACCATTGCTGGGTAGAGCATTTCTTCTTTTTTTTTTTTTTGCCACGGTTAAAAAAGTCACAGATGGTATTTCCTGCTATTTATAGTTTTTATATAATTTAGATGATTCAGAAATATTGATTAATATTACAAGGCTTTATCTACTGGCATTTCTATACTATAGGTGGAAATTAAATGGAACAGATATTGACATTGGTGTGGATTTCCGCTACCGTGTTGTTGAAGGCAGCTTGTTGATCAATAACCCCAATAAAACCCAAGATGCTGGAACGTACCAGTGCATAGCAACAAACTCATTTGGAACAATTGTTAGCAGAGAAGCAAAGCTTCAGTTTGCCTGTAAGTAGCAATTACATCATGCTGCAAATGTTACTTCGAGTTTTTGTGCCATTAAGCCTTTAAAACAGTTTCTTTTTTTTTTTGCATATTTATTTATTTATTTTTAAAATTATTATGTTATGTTAATCACCATACATTACATCATTAGTTTTTGATGTAGTGTTCCATGATTCATTGTTTGCGTATAACACCCAGTGCTCCATGCAGTACGTGCCCTCTTTAATACCCATCACCAGGCTAACCCATCCCCCCACCCCCTTCCCCTCTAGAACCCTCAGTTTGTTTCTCAGAGTCCATAGTCTCTCATGGTTCGTCTCCCCCTCTGACTCCCCCCTTCATTCTTCCCCTCCTGCAAACAGTTTATTTTTAAAAACTAAATAGATTTTAATTTGTTATATGATCTTTACCTTTTTTTCATATTTGGGTAATATCTTGCTTACAGGATAAATTGTAAATCTAAGTGGAAAGATGTATTCTGCTTTTATAAAGTTGAAGACAGTTTGATTATATGATAGTTTGTTATGGGACTCTCTATACATATATAAATTCACACACTCAAATTTATACACAAACAAATTTACATACCAAGAAATTATACACATAGACACACACACATTATAGAGTGTGTATAAGCAAGCAATTGAACTGCCTGTAATAGTCAATTTGAGAAGTATTTAACCATAAAGCTCAGAGTTGCAAAAAAGGTTGGTAGTCTATTAATCCTATAATTCTCCAGTTTTTTTCTTATTTTATAGATTAGGAAAATTTTTAAAACCACTACAATAACAACAAAAAGTAGAGACAAAGTGTTAACTTCTACAACATACCTTTTGTATTTCCAGTTTAGAACATTTAAAAAATAAATTGCCATCTCTTAAGACCATCATCTAATAAAAGTTCATGAGCAATCAAAGAAAGTGGAATTTAGAAATAGCAAGTTGAAAATGAAATCCACAGGCAAGAGCAGTGAGTACACATTTGAGTATAGATGCCTTTGAGAATTGATGTTCAGCTACATTTTTAAGGGTTTATGTATTTGCATATGATTATATATTTCCTTGTGTAAAATCCCAACTCATACAGCAGTGCATTAATGTCAAAGGTTTCATAATTACAAAGTCTGTTGGCAGTAACACTGTAGAATATTCTCATTAACAAAATTCTCTCTGGGAACTCAACATCAAATATATCTAATATCCAGTGCTTAATCTATTATTGCCATCAGGTGGCATTTTTACTAGTTGAGAAATGAAGTTTCTGAGTATTAGGCATATATAGGATTCCAAGATTATTTTGTTTGTGGATATTTCCTGATAGAATCTGCCAAATATTCTTAGATGTGCAGAATAATAGAAGGATAATATGTCCAATTGAGTGCTATAGAACCGAACTATTTCTCTTGGTTTAATGCAAGTCTAATACCTATACTTATTTTTTAGGAATGACAAGTAAATTTTGTTGGATTCATTTTGAAAAATAATCATAGAATCTTTGATTCTCAGAGTAGGGAGATCTCTGCACTCAGTGAGATTACTTCTTTGATTTTTGGATTTCGTAGTATAAGAAAATTTTTAAGATAGCAATAGTAACAACAAAAAATAAAGGTTGATAATAGCATTACTAACCCTATCTTTCTAATTTATTACATTGAAAAAAAAACAAATTACCAACTCTTAAGACTATCCTTTTGTAAGAGTCCAGGCATTTCTACTACCAAAACTATCCAAAAGACAGAATATCATATTTGAGGGTGGTCATTTATTTTTTTGTTTTTGTTTTTGTTTTTTTAAGATTTTATTTATTTTTTAACAGCGAGAGACACAGTGAGAGAGGGAACACAAGCAGGGAGAGTGGGAGAGGGAGATACAGGCTTCCCGCTGAGCAGGGAACCCGATGTGGGGCTCGATCCTAGGACCCTGAGATCATGACCTGAGCCGAAGGCAGACGCTTAACGACTGAGCCACCCAGACGCCTCTTGAGGGTGGTCATTTAATTACATTATTTTAGCCTACGGAAAAGCTCTGTCGTTCATTTTGTGGCTGAGCTGGCCTGAGGACCAGTGTTTGGAGTTCACTTTGCTTATCCCATTTAATGGGTAATGTAGGCATCCTGCCACTTTAAGAATCCATGGCTGATAGTTGTTCAAGAAGTTCTAAAAACAGAGATCTCACCTATTCATCACAAAGCATCCTGACCCATGGTAGACTGCTCTAGTTTTTCAAAAGTACAAAAACAGACCCAACATCTCTTTCTTAAAATTGGGCTAAATATCTAAATTTCCATCATTCTAACTGTAGGATTCTGGTTAGGCTTCAAATATGTGAAAACATGATCATGTCCCTTGATTTATAATAGTCATCTTTTCCAAGTATTTAATCTACAACTATCTTCTTCGTGACACACCATTTATGTAAATTTATCTATTAAATTGTGACCATATCAAAATGTACCCAATTCTATGCATGTGCCTTGACCTTTGCAGAGGACAGTGGGAACAGTAGTAGCTTACAATGTGAACTTATTTTTCAATGAATGCAGCTGACATTGATATTCATCTTTTTTTAAAGCCCCAGTCTCACATCGTAACCTTATTTTGAACATATGGTCCTGTAAAATCTGAGGATTGATTTTTATGGATGTCTATTAATCCCAAGCCACCCAACCATGTTATCTTGTTAACCTAAATTGAGAATATCATATTTACCCCTATTAAATTTACCTTCTAACTGATGACCCTTTGTTCCCTCACAGTTGAAATTGTTTTAAATCTTTTTTTTAATCTGACATATTGATTGTCCTCCTACTTTAATGTCAGCAGAAAATTTGATAAGCATGTGTACATTCAAATAATTGATACAACAGGTTGACCAGGACAGGGCAGCATGCCAGTCAGAACTTCCACTGAAACAAGATGAGATTGAACTTTTAAATCGATATTCTTTGCATATTCTTGTTCAGTTAGCCACAAATTTTCCCAAATATACTGTAATTGAACCCCAGTTTCTCCTATGTACTCTTAAAGTAGTGAGTATCTTTGTCAAATGCCTTGGTAAAATCAAGATGTATTGTTTCTTCAGCACCCCTCCTACCTGGTTTCTATGCATCTTCTCTACATCTTCTTTAACCATTTATCATAAAGCAGGCAGATTAATCTTTTAAACATGTAAATGAGATCATTCCACTTTCTGTTTTATGCGTTCTACTGCACTTAGAATAAATCTCAAATTCATTACCATGGTCTCATTTTAATTTCTTGAAAATGAGAATCTATCTTTTGCACTAGAGCCTTGATACTTTAATTCCCTCTGCTTTACATGCTTTTCTCATGATCCTTCACATACTCACTTTTCATGATCCTTCCTTCTCAATTTAGGTATGAGCTCCTAAGAGAAGGTTTTCACTTCACCCCGTCTAACCTAAGAAGTAATTCCTATCATTTCTGTTCTTCTCTTCTGTTTACCTTCTTCCAGCCCTCTACTTGTATATAACAGCATCCTCTCTTTCATTCATTAGGACTTAATACAACCTAGCATGATTTTATATATTTATTTTCTCTCATTATTTAATCGCTATGGTAGAATCTAAGTTCTAAGAGAACTGAGACTATTTTGTCCATCCTTATATCTGCAAAGTCTAGAACACTTTATATGTATGAATAAATGAATTCTTTAATTCATTTCATCTTTAGTGAAATAAAATTATTTTGGGAATGATGTATTTTTATAAACCCATACCTTTATATTCTAGTCATTTTCTAGAATCCAGCCTGTTGGTCTTCACTCTGCAGTTTCTAGACTTTTTTTCCTATCCTTTTTAAATAAAATTTTTTTTAAGATTTTATTTATTTATTTGACAGAGAGAGAGACAGTGAAAGAGGGAACACAAGCAGGGGAAGTGGGAGAAGGAGAAGCAGGCTTCCCGCTGAGCAGGGAGCCCGATGTGGGGCTCGATCCCGGGACCCTGGGATCATGACCTGAGCCGAAGGCAGACGCTTAATGACTGAGCCACCCAGGTGCCCTAAACAAATTTTTTAAAAAGATGTTGCCTTTATTCAAAAACCAATTTTAATTGTTTAGAATAAAATACTTTTCTTCAGTGATATAAGTCAACAATGACAATGTCATCTCCTGAATATTACTGACTAATTGCTTTCACCCCAAACATTTTCATAATCAGTGAGGGGAAAAAATGTTGTCTTTTGACCATACTTACTGCACCATAATATGCAAGTGAAAATACTTCTTCATTTTTAATCATATGATTTTATGGCTGAAACAGATCTTAAAAGATTCCTGGCCTGTATCATCTTAAAAATGAAAATTAAAATTAGAGTAACTGAATTACTCATGGTTATTTACACAGTGAATAAGTGACAGCCAAGGAAAACCAACCTCTGCTCCTAGTTCAGTGCACCTTTGCTCGCCTCTGCTTTAGACTCGCCTTGATTGATAAGAAAACATCCCTTCATCTTTATCTAACATGTCATACCTTCAAGTCTCATTTTTATACTTTATATAAATTTATCTATAGGGCAGTCTTATAAGGTAGACATTGTTTATGGATGATTTTTAAATCTTTTAATGCTGCTTTGTAGACAGAATTTGATAATCTCTTGTATTTAGCATTTTTTAAGAATGAATTAATTCACATAAGCAAAATATCTCATTAATGGGGATGATGCCTTTGAGAACCTACTCCTCCCCACTATTTTTTTCATTCAATATCGTTAGGATAGAAATCCTTTCTTATTAAAAAGCCATAGCATAATTTAAGTCCCTCTTGATGAGATGTGGACATTTTCATGAGCATACATTATTGTAATGCAATTTGGATCACGTTTTTTCAGTCCCCCTGCAATATTAAGCCATTAGCATTCATTTTTCTTGCTGTCACAAGACTACCCATACCCCTTCTACTGTTTACTCCTTCTGTTATATCTAGGACCACAAAACCTCATTGATTAATTTACCAGGGTTGGGGCACTTGCGTGGCTCAGTCAG